GCTTATTTGGACGGTTGCCGTGTTTATGAGTTTTCCGTCTATATAAACGAACGCTATGGCAAATGCCTCTCTGCCGTAGTAGCGGGCGGCATCTACGAATAGCGCGTGCAGTTGTGTTTTTTTTTGCCTTGTTTATGAGCGCCCTCGCTCTGTCCTTCCTTCGCCTTTTTTTGGACGTTGGGTGAACGTTGCGGGGGATTGGCTCAACTGTAATGTGTTTCCTCACGTAATTACCAAGTTGGGTTCTTTTCTCTGGTTGAGAAATGGGGCAAATGCCTGCGTCTCGTAGGGTGACATGGCCTGCCTGCGTCAACGACGGGCGTGTGATCTGTGCCACTCTCTGAGCCTCAAAAATTTCTTCGGCTGTGTTGTGCAGACCGAGCTGCTCGAGTTTCTCGTTGCTCGTGCTATTGGGCAAGCCGAGTGCCGTTTTCAGTCCCTTGCGGAGCATGGAGTCGACCTTTCAGATTTCAGCCTTTGTAAGTTTCAGAAACGGGAACGCGTATGCTACGTGACTTGCGAGAAAGGCGTGATACGCATTCACGATGTTGTCTTCTAGGAGGCCTGCTCTCTTGTTGTCGAATCTGGCAATGCCTCTTGCAAAATTGTTCGTGCTTTTTTTAAGGCGCTTAAGTGCTTCCTTTTTGTGGCCCTACTTGGCACTTAACGTTAGCCCTAGTACATTAACCGTATATACTTGCGGTATCGTTTGGTTGTTCTCAGCTTTGAGCAATACTTGATGCTCATCTTCGTCCGAATTTCGTTGAGGGTGAAAGAGCGTTAGAGTAGATTTAGTGGGGAGAGTGCGAGTCCAGTTGGCTTAAGAAATTCTTGGGTTGTAGTCAGTGCTTGTTGAAGGATTCCTTTCAAGGCACCATATGAGTGGCCCCATGGGACCCATATGGTAACATCATCCGTGTATATGGCATGGTGCACGGATGGGATTTGAGCAAGCTTCTCCGACAACCTGTGTATCGCCACATTAAAGATCAATGGCGAGAGCAGTGACTCTTGTGGAGTGCCGATATTTCCAAGTCGTTCGGGTTCGCCACATTGTTCTCTTATGCGTATGGTGGCGGTTCGGTTCGCCAGAAAGGCTTTAATGTAGTTGTATAATTTCTCGCCTAAGTTCATGTGCGATATTTTACCCAGTATGTGTTCATGTTTTACGGTGTAAAAGGCCTTGGCGAGGTCCAGGGCTATATGGTTTTGGGCGTTGGAGGAGCCCGTAACATATGTATTTTCTTAACATCAACATGGTGTCCTCTGTGGACAGTGTCCCGCGGAAGCCAATAATGTGCCGAAATAGCCCATTGCTCTCAATGTGGTCCATGATACGGTTGAGTATTGCATGCTCAACTACTTTTTCAACGCAAGATGTGAGTGATGTAGGCCTTAAGCTTTCGATGCTCAGCGGTTTTCCAGGTTTCGGGATGAGCGAAACCTTGGCACTACGACATTCTTTTGGCACGGTACCCGTTTCCCATGCCTCATTTATCTTTTTATAATAATTATATTTGCTTTATCGTCTAAATTCCATAACAGTTTATTGTCGATGCCATCTGGCCCTGGCGCCGATCTGCCATTGAGTTGCTGTGGAGCGTACGGTATTTCAGCTTCGCTGAATGGTTCGTCTAGCTTTTCTTGCGGTCGACCTCGATATGAAGGATTTTTGTTTTCTCAGGCTAGTGCTTTGCTTTCCAGTGGGAGATATTTTTGGCATAGCGTTTTGAGGAGAGCTGGGATCCACCACAATCCTGGGCATGCTTGTGCACCAATCGTTTAATTTGCAGCTGGGTGCCGCCTTTGGTGGGTTTGTCGCTTTCCGCCATAGGGTGTTTGAGCTGCCCCCCTTTGCTTCCCCTCCGCATTTCGCCATCTGCTTCGTCACATGTGTTGTTCCACTGCTGGGCGCAGAGCGTTTTGGCGTGAGAATAGATTTCGCCGCAAAAGTCCACGATTTTTATGCGTGTCTGTTGAGCTTTTTTTTACGCCACGCTTCGTTCTAGTCACGCTTTTTCTGCAGCAAACTGGCCAGGTGAGAGTCCATGGCCTGAATGAATTCATCAGTGTCGACTTCTTTGGTGACCTCATTTGTTGCCATTTTTAATTTATTTAAGAGAACTTCATATGATAGTTCTGTACTGCCCTTCTGCTCTCTTATTCTACAGAACTGGTCCCAGTCTTTGATTTTGAATTTTCTTGGCGCTTTCGCCTCGTTCTCAGCGGTAATTTCTAGGATGCAGTGGTCGCTACCAACGTCGTCGGCGAGGTTATCCCAGGTAGCTCTGACGTTCTTGGCGAAGGTTAAGTCAGGCATTGTGTCCCACTGTACCGAATGACCTCTTCTTGAAGGGAGGGCAAAACTGTTTATAAGCTGCAGGTCCAGCGCATTCGCACTTTTTGCTAACTTGGTGCCTTTGCCTTCGCTTTTAATTATACTCACTCGGTGCTTCTGGCGTTAAAATCACCCGCTACTATGAGTGGATTGTCACCCGCCATTTTCACCGCTGAGGTAAGCAGTCTGTCGAAATCTCTTTTCTTATCTGATGGAGGACTGTAAACATTGAGCACAAAGATGCTTCTTTTAACAACCCTTTGTGATAAGATTTTCACCAGGACCGTTTCGAGGCCTTTTTTTGTATACGGGGCGTCCCTTTCGGCGAACATTATGTCCTTCAGGATGAAGGTAGCCACTCATCGCGTCTTTTTCTGCTCGGGGTGCAGTGTCGGCCTGGCTACCCTGTACCCCTGTATGCCAATGCTTTTAGCAGTTTTGCTTCCTCCACATTCCTGTAGCAATATTATATGCGGCTTCTTTTACAGGCTAGCAATAGTTGTGTTAGTGGTGCTTTGCGTTTCTGAAGCTGGTTACAGTTCCACTGCCAGATGTTAATCTCGTTATGGTCAGCAGCTATTTTGGCTTGGTAGCTTGTGTGCGTCGCGGCTCGTTACCTCCGCGAGATTGCGTGCTTTGACTGGTCAGTCTTTAGCTCGAGAAGCTATTACCTCCGCGAGATTGCGTGCTTTGACTGGTCGGTCTTTAGCTCGAGAAGCTATGCTCGGCACGCTTGCCGTAACCACTGGTTTGTCCGCTCTTAGGTTCTGAGGAGCAGCAGTCATGGGTGGGTTGGCTAGCATCTTCTCTAAGCTCACGAACCTCTGGTCAACTTTGTCAGTGTAAGCCTTAAAGGTTTCCATAAACTTGGCAAGCGTGTTCGCCAACATATCAATTTTGTCGTTGAGTTTAGTTATCGCGGACTCGGGATTTGTCAGTGGGGCTTCTTTATCGCTCGAGACCATCTCTATCTCCTCCGTCGTGTCGCTGTCGTTGTCTACGGCTTTGCGTTTGTGTGTGTTGTGGATCGTTTGTTGTAAGCGTGTTGTCGGTGGTGCCGGTGAGCTCGACAGGTTAATTCTGTGGCCACTCTGTAATCTAGCTATAGAGGCCCGGAACTCTTGAAGCTCCTTCTTGAGGGCCCTGTTTTCTTGTTCAAGCGCTAGAATACGAGAATCGGGAGCATACTCTGGCTGTGCCTTACCTTTGGTCTGGCTACTTGTGCTTCGTGATGCACCTTTAACCCTGCTGACCCAGGAGCCATTGTTCGGCTGGTGCTGCTGCTGCTGCGTGGCTCCGGGTCTCGTTCTCAATTGGGATCTGGAGCACTCCCGAGATGACAGGTGGTTTTCGGATCCCGACAGGGTAAAGGGTGCCCCCGGAATGAGAACGTCATCTGGATCGAAAACGCCTTCTGGATCGGGAACGCCCTCTGGATTGGGATCTACCCCTTGAAGAAGAACAGTGATGGACGCTCGAGGCGTTCTCCCGTCCCGGTACCTGGTTGTGGCAATGTTCCTTGAACATGACAGATGTTGGTGCGTCTTGACGTTGTTGTGCTTGCCACTCTTGCTTTCTGCGTCTTCTTCTTCTTCTTCTCAATATGTAAGGGATGTGGAAGCGTCTTTTGCATTCGCGATCTGTGGTGGTGTGATTGCCATCGCAAAGCTTACATTTCGGCTCGCAGTGATGCACACCGTCTTCTTGTAGCGTTTCACCACAGTTGTGACATTTCTTGCTCGTTGAGTTTGTGTGCCGGCAAACATCGGCACGATGGCCGACCCCTCCGCACGTCCTGCAAACATTGACTTGTCACTTGTAGAGCGAGCAGAGAACCATGGCAGTTCCGCACATCACTGTGCTCGGAACGCGCAACCCGTCAAAGAGGATTGCGACCACTTTGGTCTTTTAGGCGTGAATACACTTTATAAGCGACCCCAAACCATCCACCGCCGTCGGCGGCGTCCGCAGTCTTCTCTCTATCTTTAAAAGAAAGAGGACTTGGCGGGCCGCAGCGCGACGCTCTACCGAATAAGCCACGGACGCGACGCTGATATCGGTGTCAGTAACGCGCCTTATACCCCCTCCCCGTTCGCTCGCTCCTCCGCTCTCCTCGCTCGCTGCAGCTGCGCGCGCACCCCTCTCTCTCGCGCGCCCGCCTTCTTTCTCAGTCTCCCGTCGAGAGCGGGTCGTGAGGGGGAGTAAAGTTAAAATCCGTTGGCATTCGCCAGTGAGTTAACGTAAACTCCCCCGTGTGATCAAATTGCGATTCCCAGGAACCATTACACCATAAAGGCACCATAGTGTGAATAATAAATATAATAGTGCGAATTAATAAATACCCCTCATAGCATCACCCCGTATATTCGCACTTAACCATGTTCACCCTCGGGGAAATGCTTGGGAGTTTTTTAATGCGTCTTGCCTCTATGGCTGTGGGATTTCAGTCGTGCACAATCAGGCGTTTGAGCGTTGTGTCGTCAAGGGAAAGGTCAACGTTCTTGATCACGCCCTTGCATGTATTATCGGGTGCGGCCACGTATGCGGCAACTTCGAACGAGCCTTGGTTTGTGTGTATAGTTTCTGCACGTTCACGTATGATGTAGCATTATTTTGGTGCGGCGTAGAAATAAAAATGATGTTTTGCATATTGTTGGGGCAGATCGTGTCCTCCCGTGCTTGTTCGTCGGTGATCTGGGCAGCCATGATGAAGGCTCTCGCCAGCAGAACGAGGTCGACTCCGGCTACTTCCAATCCTCCTCTTGGTCTCATGATTACCCTGATCTGGTCCTTGGGTAGACGGGGTAGCCTGGTAGCGGATACCACACGGTGTAGCGCCGATTGACTCTTTTTGACGCTTCTGCGGTGCTTCAGATGGTTGTGGTGCTCGACCGTCCCAGCGGCCAGCTCCTCGTTCGGTGGAGTCGTCTGTCCTAGGCGTCCCATGGCGGTGGCCTATCCTGGTCCGTCGAAGACTTCCGCGCTCACTTCCATTCCCTCCATGGTTATGGTGGAAGGCATTTCCAGTGCCTGGGTGTCGGCTGGGACGTACGGGGGATGATGCAGTAGCTGCGGCTTCTGGACGAGCCCTTGGCTTCGTCTAACGGCCGTACTCCTCGCCAACCCGAGGTGTGGTTAGGATCAGTGGGGACCCTCGCCGCGTCGCAACATTAAAGTCCAAAAAGTTGCCTAAGAGTTCACTCACCGCCAAAAACGACGTCTCCACTGAAACCGCAGAGCTTGCTTGTTCGAATAAGCACAAAGCCAAGTGATCTTGGAGCAAAAAAAAAACGACCGAAAACATTTAGAAAAGCGGGAGCCGACGTTCTCACGTTCACGCTCCTCGGCGCCACTTACTGATCTTGCCGTGAGAATGAGAGCATGCGCCGGCATGTCGTGACGATGTGGCGACGCACTCTATCCACCACCTTGCCGGTAAAGCTGAAAACACGATAGTCCCCCCCCCCCCCCGAGATGCCCGTCAACAACAGTAAGTGGTAGATATAAATAGCTTGCCGTTTGAACGTTGAAGGAGGTGCTCCTTCGTGGCTCAGTGGTTAACAACTCGCACCAATAATTAAGAGGCCCCACGTTCAAAGCCGCGTGTCGGAGCATTCTGAATAATTTTGTTTTTAGCGTTTTAATATATATTAAAATACGTATATATACACGGTGAGTGACGGCAAAACCGATGCCGACGTTGACAACAGTGGCAACATACAGCCGAGAGTGGGCATATATTTAGTATCGCAACAAAATAACAAAACTGAATGGTCATATTGGAACGTAGTAATGATGACACAGAGAAAATGCAATTGGTTTCGATCTTGGCTGATTCTGCATTACGGGACTGATCACTAAAAGCATATAACAAATTTTCACTAATCTCCACGCCTCCTCGCTGTGCAAACGCATTGCGAACATTTTTTCTACGTCCGGCTGGTTGAAACATTGTCTAGGCTGCTCGGCTGCTGATCCCAAGGTCACGGATTTGATCCCGGCCGCGGCGCTCGCATTTTGATGGAGGGGAAACGGTAGAGCGCGTGTACTGTGCGATGTGAGTTCACGGTAAAGAATACCGAGTGTTCAATATTTGCGGAGCCCTCCGCTACGCCGTTTCTCATATTCATACCGACGTTATGCGACAAAAAACCAAGATAATATTACTAATTTTTTCACCTTTCAGACTTTTGAGGTCTGAAAGATGAAATCCACTTAGCAAACTACTGTCTGCTAAGTGGATTACGCTGACATTAAAGAGGGTCCTCCGGAGCAAACTACTTAAGACAGTGGATTTCAGAGTAACTTGTACAACCTTTGAAAAGCAGTGGGGGTCACATGCCTTCTAATTGCGGAATTCCGCCTGCTATTTCATGGCGACGTGTGACAGGCAAGGCTTCCGAGCTAGCAGCTGCCGTTCTATAAAAAATAATTAAAGGGATGCTATGTGTGCCTGCTAAGTTGTAATTCTGAAGTAGGAATATTTTGTTTTCGGAGCCCTTTAGTCGAGCGAAAATGTCATTTTAGAGGATAGAGCAAGTAACTTTGCATACGGATAGTTCTCACTATCAAGTCCATTCTCTTTTTCAAGTACTTGTCATTCTCAATGTACATTCGACAGGCGGGCTGAACTTGCAGTCAGGCGTCGAAAGAACAATTATATTTGCACGGGATGAGCTACATAAGTATCTAAACTTGTTATAAAGCTCTCTGAGTATATTCTCTCCAGGGTACTCATCATTTGCCTCAGCCATTCAAAAGTAAGGGCCTCATTCTAAATACAATCCTGTGGTCATCGGTTACATAAATCGCGCATTAAATGAATTGTGAGGAACACGAGTCTCTGGTAAGCGGCAATGCCAACACTCGCTCGGCTCGCTTGTCTGGCGCTGCTGGTCACTGACGTCCTTCTGGACGGCACTCTTTTCTGACTCGCTTTGTTTATTTGTAGAGTCGATACCGCCAATGATCTCTTCTCAGGTGAGAGGCACCGCCAAAACCAATACTCCGGCGCAGTTTGGCGCAATTTGCATCAATTTTATTACAATCGCAAAATAAATTCAATTGGGCGAACTTTGGCACATGAGGCCCAGGAGCGTAATCACTGCTTTTGTAAAGCCCCACTTCGACATCTTTCTTTACAGCCAGCGATTCAGATACGCCTTTCTACTCATGCTATATTATTTAAGTCGGCCTCGGTAGTTTCCACAGGAGCACACGTACACTGACCGATAAATATTGTGCGCTTGCTCACAACCACTCTTTTCACGTTTTTCATTTGTACATGGCTCTGACTGAATGAGTGCGGTTTATCGTCCCAAAACCACTATATGATTATGAGAGACGGCGTAGTGGAGGGCTCCGGAAATTTTAGCCACCTAAGGTTCTTTAGCGTGCACGCAAATCTGAGCCCGTGGGCCTACAACATTTCCGTCTCCATTGGAAATGCAGCCACCGCAGCCGACATTCGAATCCGCGACCTGCGGGTCAGCAGCCGAGTACCTTAGCCACTAGACCACTGCGGCGGGGCTGTGCATGGCTACCCTGATCTGGTCCTTGGGTAGACGGGGTAGCCTGGTAGCGGATACCACACGATGTAGCGCCGATTGACTCTTTTTGACGCTTCTGCGGTGCTTCAGATGGTTGTGGTGCTCGACCGTCCCAGCGGCCAGCTCCTCGTTCGGTGGCGTCGTCTGTCCTAGGCGTCCCATGGCGGTGGCCTATCCTGGTCCGTCGAAGACTTCCGCGCTCACTTCCATTCCCTCCATGGTTATGGTGGAAGGCATTTCCAGTGCCTGGGTGTCGGCTGGGACGTACGGGGGATGATGCAGTAGCTGCGGCTTCTGGACGAGCCCTTGGCTTCGTCTAACGGCCGTACTCCTCGCCAACCCGAGGTATGGTTAGGATCAGTGGGGACCCTCGCCGCGTCGCAACATTAAAGTCCAAAAAGTTGCCTAAGAGTTCACTCACCGCCAAAAACGACGTCTCCACTGAAACCGCAGAGCTTGCTTGTTCGAATAAGCACAAAGCCAAGTGATTTTGGAGCAAAAAAAAAAACGACCGAAAACATTTAGTAAAGCGGGAGCCGACGTTCTCACGTTCACGCTCCTCGGCGCCACTTACTCAGCTTGCCGTGAGAATGAGAGCATGCGCCGGCATGTCGTGACAATGTGGCGACGCACTCTATCCACCACCTTACCGGTAAAGCTGAAAACACGATAGTCCACCCCCCCGAGATGCCCGTCAACAACAGTAAGTGGTAGATATAAATAGCTTGCCGTTTGAACGCTGAAGGAGGTGCTCCTTCGTGGCTCTGTGGTTAACAACTCGCACCAATAATTAAGAGGCCCCACGTTCAAAGCCGCGTGTCGGAGCATTCTGAATAATTTTGTTTTTAGCGTTTTAATATGTATTAAAATACGTATATATACACGGTGAGTGACGGCAAAACCGATGCCGACGTTGACAACAGTGGCAACATACAGCCGAGAGTGGGCATATATTTAGTATCGCAACAAAATAACAAAACTGAATGGTCATATTGGAACGTAGTAATGATGACACAGAGAAAATGCAATTGGCTTCGATCTTGGCTGATTCTGCATTACGGGACTGATCACTAAAAGCATATAACAAATTTTCACTAATCTCCACGCCTCCTCGCTGTGCATACGCATTGCGAACATTTTTTCTACGTCCGGCTGGTTGAAACATTGTCTAGGCTGCTCGGCTGCTGATCCCAAGGTCACGGATTTGATCCCGGCCACAGCGCTCGCATTTTGATGGAGGGGAAACGGTAGAGCGCGTGTACTGTGCGATGTGAGTTCACGGTAAAGAATACCGAGTGTTCAATATTTGCGGAGCCCTCCGCTACGCCGTTTCTCATATTCATACCCATGTTATGCGACAAAAAACCAAGATAGTATTACTAATTTTTTCAACTTTCAGACTTTTGAGGTCTGAAAGACTAAATCCACTTAGCAAACTACTGTCTGCTAAGTGGATTACGCTGACATTAAAGAGGGTCCTCCGGAGCAAACTACTTAAGACAGTGGATTTCAGAGTAACTTGTACAACCTTTGAAAAGCAGTGGGGGTCACATGCCTTCTAATTGCGGAATTCCGCCTGCTATTTCATGGTGACGTGTGACAGGCAAGGCTTCCGAGCTAGCAGCTGCCGTTCTATAAAAAATATTAAAGGGATGCTATGTGTGCCTGCTAAGTTGTAATTCTGAAGTAGGAATATTTTGTTTTCGGAGCCCTTTAGTCGAGCGAAAATGTCATTTTAGAGGATAGAGCAAGTAACTTTGCATACGGATAGTTCTCACTATCAAGTCCATTCTCTTTTTCAAGTACTTGTCATTCTCAATGTACATTCGACAGGCGGGCTGAACTTGCAGTCAGGCGTCGAAAGAACAATTATATTTGCACGGGATGAGCTACATAAGTATCTAAATTTGTTATAAAGCTCTCTGAGTATATTCTCTCCAGGGTACTCATCATTTGCCTCAGCCATTCAAAAGTAAGGGCCTCATTCTAAATACAATCCTGTGGTCATCGGTTACATAAATCGCGCATTAAACGAATTGTGAGGAACACGAGTCTCTGGTAAGCGGCAATGCCAACACTCACTCGGCTAGCTTGTCTGGCGCTGCTGGTCACTGACGTCCTTCTGGACGGCACTCTTTTCTGACTCGCTTTGTTTATTTGTAGAGTCGATACCGCCAATGATCTCTTCTCAGGTGAGAGGCACCGCCAAAACCAATACTCCGGCGCAGTTTGGCGCAATTTGCATCAATTTTATTACAATCGCAAAATAAATTCAATTGGGTGAACTTTGGCACATGAGGCCCAGGAGCGTAATCACTGCTTTTGTAAAGCCCCACTTCGACATCTTTGTTTACGACCAGCGATTCAGATACGCCTTTCTACTCATGCTATATTATTTAAGTCGGCCTCGGTAGTTTCCACAGGAGCACACGTACACTGACCGATAAATATTGTGCGCTTGCTCACAACCACTCTTTTCACGTTTTTCATTTGTACATGGCTCTGACTGAAT